ATTATATATCAAAATATAGTCAAGTATTTTCATTTTTTAGTTTCTATTTCCATTTGCGTGACATATCTGGAGTCGTTTGAGTAGTGCTCGGTTTGCATTTTCCACTTCTCCATTTGCTTGAGGCCAATACGGGGCTGAATGGATAAGCCGGATGTTGTAATCTTTGCAGAATTTTTGGAATTCTTCACAAGCAAATTGTGGTCCATTGTCAGCTTTGAGTGATGTTGGGATTCCGAACTTGGCAAACAGCTCTTTCATGTGAGTGATAATTACAGACGCAGTGGTCGACCGTAAAAATTTGACGTCTTGATAACGTGAATAGTAATCGATGATTACTAGCACCTGCTCATGGTTTGGAAGTGGTCCCATGAGATCTGTTGCGAGAAACTGCCATGGTGCTGTTGGAAACTCTTGGCGTTTCATATGGGCCGGTTTTGGGGGCAGCGATACTCTCAAGCAGTCACGACAATTTTTCAGAATGTCTTCAGCTTGTCGGTCTATTGATGGCCACCACACTTTAGCTCGGAGTCTTCTTTTCATAACCGTTTGCCCTGGATGGCCTTCATGAGCTAGTTTCAGTGTCCGTTCACGCAACGACTCTGGTATAATAATTTTATTTCCTCGAAGTAAAACCGGTCCTAATAACGTAAGCTCGTTTCGGAACGGAAAATATGGACAATTATCTGAGTTTTCCCATGAGTCGCTGTTTACTTTTTCGACAGTCGCAGTTAGAGTCGCGTCTTCTTGGCTTGCCTTAATTATTTCCGATACGCTTATTGCTTTTGGAACAGCTTTCTCCATGACTGTATTTATGTGGATTTCATCACCCTCGTCATACGAGTTGGAGTTGGTTAGGCGGCACAATCGAGACACTGCATCAGCGATGTTGGATTTTCCTGATTCATATTTCGACCTGAATTTGAATGCTTGAAGGCGTAACAGCCATCTTTCAATTCATGCTGGGTGTTTTGATGTTGGATTGAAAATTGCCTCTAGTGGTTTATGATCTGTGATTAATTCAAATTCAAGTCCTGCTAAATAATAATAAAAACGCTCCACTGCCCAAACCAACGCCAGACTTTCCTTTTCAGTTTGTAAGTATCTTCTTTCAACTGCAGATAGGCTTTTGCTGGCAAATGAGATGACTCTGGGGGTATTTTCTGCGTGGAATTGTATAAGAACGGCAACCGGACTAGCTTCTGCCACCACTCTCGTTTTTTTCGGTGGGTCGAAATAAGCCAAGGTTGGAGGTTTTGGTCACTGCTTTCTTTAACTGGTCAAAACTGTATTGTTGTTCCTGTGTCCATTTGAATGGTGTTTCCTTACGAGTCAAACGTCGAAGTGGTTCTGTTAATGTTCCCAAATCAGGTATACATTTTCCTACATATGTCACCAAGCCTAAAAACTACGCGTTTCTTCTTTCGTGGTAGGTGCTAGAAACTCCTGTACTGTAGTTATTTTTGCTTCATCAGCCTTGATGCCACTGGTGGTTAGTGTATGGCCCAAAAACTGTTTTTCTTTAGTTTTGATCAGACATTTGTCCTTGTTTAGTTGCACGTTGTTCTCCTGTAGTACGTATCTTACTTTTTTTAAACATTTGTCGTGTTCTTCTTCCGAGGACCCAAATACTATAATATCATCAAGATAGTTGAACTGCCTCACACTCCGCTAGTAGTTCTTCGAAAATACGCTGAAAGATTTCTGGTGCGGAATTGACACCGAACATCAGCCGTTTGTAACGGAATCTACCTTTGTGTGTAATAAAAGTAGTAATGTCCCTACAGCTCTGATTCAGTTCCAATTGATGATATGCATTTTCCATATCCAGTCGTGAAAAATACTTTGCGTTTCTTAACTTCGTCATAAACGAGTCGAACGTGGGAAGGGGGTAGTTCTCTCTCTTAATAGCTTCGTTCGGTTTAAAAATGACCACAATTGGAGATATCCATGAACTTGGCTTTTCCACACGTTCAATGATGTCTTTTTGAAGGGCCTCGTTTAATTTATCCTCGACGGCTTTTTCAACTGAGATAGGTATTCGTCTCACTGGCTGGCGTACTGGTCTAACCAATCGGTCAATTGTAATTTGGACTTGCACGCCTTTTATTTTCGGGAATGGTTTAATATCTTTTTGTAGTGCATTAATTCCTAGTTTTAATACACCCAATCGCATCGCCGTAGTTTTTCCCAATAGAGATATGTTACCCTTTTCTATGACTTAGAATGGTGCAATTACTTCTTGTCCCGTCTTGACACTGATGCCAGCTGTAAAGTGGCATTTAGGTATTACGGTTCTTTAGACCCATAGGGAGTTAGTCTATTTCCGTTATCTGGGTTAACATTCCATATTGCTGCCCGTTGTTGTTGTAGTATGTCCCAGTCAGCGCCGCTGAGCACATTAGCCATCGATCCCGAATCTATAAGCATAAGTATAGCAATCCCTCCAATAACACACTTAATTAATTCGCTATCGTCGTCTTCACCCCCTTGCTGGCTGTATTGGCTATTTCTAACACGTTTTGCAGTGATTTGAAAGCAGTCAAACTCCGATATACTGTCGTTTGCGTCTAAATTTTCTTCGGCTCTCGCATTGGTACTAATGTGGTTTACAGTAGATCTCATCCTCCTCCTTTTTGCCTGTGGGCCTGTTTGTGTCTGATTTGTACTTCTAAAATGCCGATTTTCGGGTCTCGTTCGGCATCTTGCAGCAAAATGTCCTACGGCGCCGCATGTGTGACATGTGACCTTCTGTGCTGGGCATTTGTTATCGGACGCATGATGGTCCTTTCGCCCACAACGAATGCATTCACTATTCATGTACTTATTACTTCCATGGCGACTTGTGATTCTGTTGATTTGGCTGGAGGAGGTTTCTGCTTCAGTATTTGCTCTAGACTGCATTATCTCAGATTGACTTGTGATTTCTTCATGAATTCGGCAAAGATCAATAATTTCCGGTAAAGTGTGTTCCTTCTCTTTTTTAAGTCCGCTGATGCCCAGTTATCAATTAATTTGTCTTTTAAGCCGATCTCCATGGCTTCTTGAGCTGTTTCCCCAAATGTACATTTGGCTGCTTGTTGACGGATGCGTACAAGAAATTTGCTTAGTCCCTCGTTCTGAATTGGTTTCATGCTGCGAAATAGATGTCGCTCAAAAGTGGAATTGCGTTGTGGTGAAAAGTACTCTGTTAGTTTGTCGACCAATATTTCAAATAGGTTTTTGTTTTCTTTATTGTTACCTTCTACCAATGCTCCTGGTATATTAAAGGCCACTTCTTGCAGTGTGGTCCTCCAAGGTGTAACAATTTGCTTTTCTTCCGACCGGGGTCACTAATATCTTCTGCATCTAGGTATAATTTCAGAGCACGGAGCCATTTCTCCCACTCGTTGCGTAACACAGCCTTGTCAATGGACTCGCAAAAAAATGTTTAATTCCTGGGTTCTCTGCCATTTTTTTTTAACGTTTAAGTCGTGGACACTTTTTAACCTGCGTTATTTGACGTTGACCCTTTTGGCCTTACTCACGTTTTGGGCCGTGGATACCGTTTAAGTCGTGGACACTTGCGTTATTTGACGCCGGCCCTTTGGCCTTACTCACGTTTTGGGCCGTGGATACCCTTTGTTTCACTTTACGTCCTTTGACGCCGACCCTTTGGCCTTACTCACGTTTTGGGCCGTGGATACCCTTTGTTTCACTTTACGTCCTTTGACGCCGACCCTTTGGCCTTACTCACGTTTTGGGCCGTGGATACCCTTTGTTTCGATTTACGTCCTTTGACGCCGGCCCTTTGGCCTTACTCACGTTATTAGCGTGGACTTTGACTATGTACCCTGTATAAATACAATAAAGTTAGTTTATCCTCGTCGCCAGTTGTGCTACCCCGGGTTTCTTACCGTTGTAAATAATACACAAATAAACTTTAATAATAATATCGCTTTTATTGATAGCTATTAGACAGATACAACCTACACCATTAACATCCAAAACATAACTAACTATTGATATGACAAATCAAGTAACTTAAAACATAACAGAACAAAACGATTATATAACATTCAAAATGATTATCAGCGGCAACTATTCGTCATCCGCAGATGCAGGTCGCCACAATGTCCTTTTCACCTGATTTATGCTAAATAATTTTTACCTGTTTTATGTTAAATTAAAATATAAGTTTTGTTTTGTTTATCAAGAATGTATCTATTGTTTTTTTTTTCTAAATATTTAAACATTTTTATTTATTTTTTACTCAGGTTTGAGTTTTTTTGTAGGTACTTTTACATAAGGTTGAGAATTTATCTCTTTGTTTTTTTCATATAAATTATGTTAAAGCACATTTTATTTGTTGTTTTTATTTACCTAGGTCTAAGAATTTTTGTTTGTTTTTAATTCTTAAAATATTACAATTTAGTGTTATATATATATATATGTTATATATATAATTATATATTTTTAATTTTGCGTACGGTCCTCAAAACTGACTCCTAACCTAACCTCTCTTCCCCCCCAAAAAAAAACATGAGGGCGACAGCCACTGCTGCCCCGGGCGGCACTTTTTCTAGTTACGCCGCTGTTCTTCAGAATGTATTTATAACTTATTATTAAGTGAGTTTATATAACACAATGTTTTATGGTACAAACATTTTTGGTCTACCTGAATAATATTTGCTTAATACATTGAAAGAGAGTAATAATGGAAAAACCTAATTTATTGTAGTACAGTATATTCCTATTGTGTGAATAATTAAAATAAATTTAATAGAGGTGAATTATTGGTTTCGATTTGATCATTTAATACAATATAGTTTGTTTCTTTAATTTATTGATTTCCAGTGATTCTGGTAAATTTAATTTTAAGCCTTTACTTTCTACGTGTAAAATTTTAAAATTATGATTAAAAGTATGGTTTTCTTGAATTAAGTGGTTGGCGTAAGCTAAATCTATTTTATTATTATTAAACGATCTCCTATGTTCGTTGATTCTAGTTTTAAAATTCCGACCTATTTGTCCTATATAGGTTTTGGGGCAATCAGAACATGTTAATTGGTAAACTCCTGACTTCTTATGTTTGTTAGATTTATCTTTATTATTTTTAATTGAAATACCTAAGTTATTGTTAGTTTTAAAAGCGAGTTGATTTTTTTAAACAGGGTGGAAACGTGTCTCATGTTATAACCTAGGTATGTAAAAATATTGTACGTATTAGTATAGGTTTTTTGTATTGGAAATATTTGGTTAATGGCAATTTTTTGTTTTTTGTTTTTTAAAATTTCATTCATTATTTGTGCTGGATATCCATTATTGACGGCTATTTGCTTAATTAAATTTAATTCATGATCGAAATCTGTTTTTGACAGTGGTACATTTAAAAGTCTATGAATCATTGAATTAAAGGCTGCTCTTTTTTGGGGCCAAGGGTGTGAGGATGAATTATGAATAACTATGTCTGTGTAACTAGGTTTATGAAATATTTTGAATGTATGATAGCCATAACTTTTTTGTATAGTAAGATCAAGGAAATTAATTTGATTGTTTTGTTCTTCTTCCATTGTGAATTTGATGTTTGGGTGAATGTCATTTATAAAATTTAGAAAACTATTTAGTTGTCGTTTTGTACCCGTGAAGCAGGTTAGGATATCGTCAACGTATCTGTACCAATATAAAAAAATTTTGTAATGTGAGTTTTTGTGGATAATTAGTTCTAACTTGTTCTTTTTGTACCATAAAACATTGTGTTATATAAACTCACTTAATAATAAGTTATAAATACATTCTGAAGAAGTCACTGTGTGATGAAACAATTGTCAAAAGTAAATAAAACACGTAAAACTTTCAAAACATATTTGTTCTTTTATATCTACATAATAATAATAAGTTTCATCAAGTAAAGGTCGAAACAATCAAATAATTATATTATATTTTCAGGAAGCAGAACTTTTATAGTAACTTTTTTTGTAAAATTTAAAATAAAAAAGTTTTTCATATGTAGAACACTTAAGCAAACTTATGGTGTAAAACCAATTTTACTATACTAAGCTTAACCCTAAAACTAATTATTTCCTTATTCCTTTGGTATATGCGTTTTGTACAAATACTTTTATTTTCAACCAATCTTTGTTGTGCAATAATTCTATGTATTTTTCCTTCAATTCATCACATTCTTGTCTTTTAGTAGGCTTTTGAGATTTGATGTGATTTTTAAAATACTTTAAAGTGATTTGTTTTTGTTCAATCGTCCATGGCACTAATTTCCGGGTAAGTTTCTTTTTGGACTCTGCGACAAACTCTTTAGCAGCATCGCTTCTTGGGCTTAATGCTTTGCAGTTACTGGTTGACGCCTTAGAAGTATTTACTAAATCGTCCATAATATCATTTTCACCTTCATCACTATTATCATCACAGTTATTTTCATCTAAAAGATTTTCTTCCATATCAATAACGATATCATCTATAGATTTTCCTTTATAATGATTTGCCCCGCCCATTAATAGTTTGGATATTTTAGCTGTCTGATAAACATCATCAGGTAGGCGATAGGAATTTCTGTGAACACCAGGTGTATGCCCCATGAAAGTAGCTAACTGTTCTATTTCTCCATCCGAAAGGTTAAATAATTGTGATAAAGGTGCAAGATGTTTTCGCAATCGGGTTGAGGTGATTGAGGAAGGGTTTTGTGCACCACATAATTTAGAGTGTTTGCTTAAAATTTTATATCCTATTAAATGAGCGTTAGAATTGGCTGTGGCAAAAAGATAAGGATTATTTTTTGGGATAAAATAATTTCTAATTTTTAATATTATGTCAATATGTTCTTGAATGTCAGAATGGAATAAGACGGGAACTCCTTTACCTCGCTTCTCCGGATAACAACCCTTTTTAATGATTTTAAAAGAATTTTTTCGGGCAAAGTAACAACACTGTCAAATTCCTCATATTTTTGCATTTCAGATGGAGCATTAATGTAAGTATGTATGTAAATACATTCTCTGTAGTTCTCCTGAACGTTTTCTGTTTAATAATATTACCCTGCAGTAGATAGTCTCCACTAAATTATTAAATGCTACACTGTCCTTTATGGTAACTTGGCAGTCAACATCATCTAATTCAATATTGCTTTTGGCATCTTCAACCTGTTTGGTAAGGACTTCCAAACATTGTTTAGCTAAATTGATAAGATGTTGTCTTAATAAACGTAAGTCATTAGCAAGGGGAACAATGGTTACTTTATTCCACTTGTTAAGGTTGAGGGTGTTGGCGGCATGTGAAGATATCTCAAAACACCAATTAGTTTCAAAAAGACGAATCAAGGTTTTTAATTCTGCCTCAATTGTTGCGTTAGACAATGAGTAATGTGGTATATTTTTGGTATAAATAAAAGTAATTGCAATATCGCAACACTGTTTCAAAGAAGTTGCAATATTAATGGCAAATGTTGGAGACAAATAAACATCTTGTTTAGCATCATATTTGGCGATGCGTTTTGCGGCTTCCACAAATATTTCAAAAAAATTTGGCTTCAAGGCTGAAATAAATGTGGTTATGGATGTTTCCAATGCTCTCATTTCCAAAAGAATTTTGAAATGCTTTTCACGGTGCATTTTCAGGTATCTTGCTCCTAATTCACAAATAAGTGGATCTATTTTGGCTTCCAAAGATATCTTATCTGCTCTCATACGAGAAAATACTTCTTCTTTTAATCTACGATCTACCTTAAAATTTGAAAAAATTGTGACTTTTTCACCTGAAGCATTTTTCTGCAGACATTTTTTTATGTCTATATAACAGTTTTGATGAAAAGTGTCCTAAACAATTGTCACAAGGTAGTTTTTTTCTTCCTGGCACATATCCTTCTCTAACTGGTTTAAAACAATTACCGCCATCAGCCAAATAATTCCCCTTACGTCTAAGAGCATTAAATAGTTGTTTTCGTTCTCTGCTTTTAATTGGTTTTGCTAAAATTTTTGCTACCTCCATTTCCATTGGATGGTTTCTTAAGATATGACGACTAAAATTAAGAACCTTATTTTCCCAAAAATAACAGTGATCTGGTTTTCCTTTATACGGCGTTTTAGTCTTGCTGACCTCTGTACTACTTGGTAAATTTAATTCAGGATCATTACGTTTCTTACGCTTCTGCTTCTTTAGAGTTGTAAGCTCCTCATCATTGGTATCCTAAGACGTAAAGACTTATTACTAATGTATTTAATTTATAAAGAAATAACATAACAAACGTATTCAGTATTTAGATTAACATATTCATTGAAAATGTTGATAGGAAACCAGGGGAGTGAAATTAAGCTAGAAACAGATTATTTCATAAACAACTTTGTGTCGTACCTAGGCTGGTAATGGCCTTAAGTACGCACTATAGGGTCTCTCTAGTTCTTCGACAGAGAGAATACCTACCTCGAGTAACTTTACAGTGGAGAAATAGGGTTTGAGAATCAGTTCAGGTTTTGTAGTTTAATTTAAATGCCAAAAATAACTTAAACTTGTTTATTTGTTCATATAAATATATTCAATATATACAAAATCATAAGTAAAGGATATATACATAAAATAAAGGTCTATCGTAGATAAGTATTATACAATTTTATGTGTGCGAACATGTCAATATTTCGTTCTTGATACCCCAAAAGGCAAAAGACAGGCAGGCAGGTTCACTTGCAACTGGGGCTATAAAGAAGAAATATTAAATGCAAAATATATACCCAGTCAAACTGTCTAGAGAACACCCAGAAAAATCGAATAAAATTTAATTATTAAATAATTTAACTTATAAATTATAAAATAACATAACTAAATATAAAATAACACACTGTATAACACATTTTTTAATGCAAAAAATAATGTTTTTTACTATTTATCGTATTTCTGGGTACCCGTTAAACGGTGCAATTTATTATATCTTGTGTTATTTACCCAATATTCATCAAATTTTTATAAAAATACTTTTACTATCATGGAAAGGCACCATCTAAGTGACGAACAAAAATTAAGAGCAAATGGGCACATCTGTGAGTCTTATAAGCAGATTGTGGAGACGTTACAATGAGTATAATGACGTAAGGGAAAGACATCCAGGCCGCAGTAGGATAACTACCCCGGTACAAGACCGCTTTTTGCTTTTGCAAGCTCGGAGACACTCGAAAATAACAGCTCCCGAGCTAAGACAAGAGCTTCTTAGGACCGACGATTTGATTGTGTCAGCTCAACAGAAACCGTGTCCGAGAGCAAGGTCTATTTCAGAGAAGACCTTTAAGGGTACCCTGATTGCTTCCTGAAAATCGCGCTGCTCGTTTAGCTTGGGCACAAGAACATCTTAATTGGGGTCCTGATGATTGGAGCCGTATTCTCTTTTCTGATGAGTCAAGATTTTGCTATCACCCAGATTCTGGAAGGATACGTATCTGAAGAGAACCTGGAAACCAAGCACGGCTACAACATGCTCGTGAGGTGGTCAATTTTGGAGGAGGTTCATTGATGTTTTGGGGAGGAATTAATACTGGCGGAAGAACCGAGCTCTTTTTAATGGAAACAACTTTGAATGCAGTTCGATATCGCGACAACATAGTTTTACCTATTGTGTTACCTTATTTAACCAATATGGGCCCAAATTCCATTTTCCAGCAGGATAACGCTAGGCCACATACTGCGAGGATCGTTCGAGCAGCATTCGAAGAGAATGATATAAGCGTTTTACCTTGGCCAGCAAACTCCCCAGACCTTAATCCAATAGAAAAAGTATGGGATGCTATAAAAAGAATACTTTAGAATCGCCAAATCCATTATGGAGACCAGCAGCAGCTAATTTTGGCGGTACAGGAGGTGTGGCGAAATCTGGACCAAAACCTACTCGATAGGCTTATATTGAGTATGCCAAATCGATGTAGGGCGGTCGTAAACAACCGAGGAGGTCCGTCCGGATATTAGTTTTTAATAAAAAAAATAAATGTAGCAATATTATTATAAATAACATAATAATAAAAATTTGGATATTTGGTGGATGTTATTATTTTAAGTTTTGAAGGGGTTGTAACATCATTTTACAATATATTTTTTATTTAATTAGTTTTATTAATTCATTATATTTTCACATTCGTTTTTTTGGTTTTACTGCAATAATTGAAAAATATTTAGGTGTTCCCTAGACACTTTGACTGTGTATATAAGTGAGGTTATGTTCACTTGGATGTTAAATGTAGATAGATTATTAATGACAGGACGGGTGGCAGGATTTTCAAATAGGTTAAATACGGCATAAAAGCCACAGGTTAACCTACTGTTTTATATCACCACGAAATAATCCTTATGCATTCAAGTCTCGGTATGGGTTCTTCCAGCCAGTATTAGGACCAGTCGGAATTTGAGCCACCAGTAGACTGATTTTAATAATGTCCAAATCCGCCTTTTCTAGCTAAAACTTGCAAAAAGAAATACTGCAAAAAACAACATCACCGCCGTTCTGCCCAACTAAATGTCAAAATTAGTTGTTTTAGTACATGGTACGGCATCTGTTGGCTGATGGATGTACTACCTCTTGCAGGTAACAGAAAACTGCGTTGAATTATCAATGGTTCATTAGAACTTTTTATAAAAGTTATTTTTGGTTGAATAAGAAATCGTCAATTTGGTTTTGTAATTGAAAATCCTCCATCCCAGTAAATACTGAAAACTTATTTCCTCTGACGATCTTCATGTCGTGTGTTTTTTAATCATGCCCAAATAGATTTTAATTCTTATTTAAATAGTAAATCATCCCTTTCTCTATTTGTATTTAATCATTTATCTTAGCTAAATCTGAAGGTTTACTTTTTAAATAAACATTGGTAAGTATTTTAATTTTTTAAGTTAATTTATAATGATAATAATAATATAAAGCTTACTTCATTACTGCTAGGAAAAAATGAAGAATCTTCACTGGACGATGCATGAAAAGGATCTTCTGGGGTATATGGAAATGACAAGATGTCTTCTTCAGGTAGTTTTTTTGAGGATATATTATATTCCGACTATAAAAATAAAAGTACGACAATAACAAATTTGAGAAAAAATAAATACGTGTTTCGGGATTTTTTTATATTGGCTCTAGCTATTAAATTTTTGATTTTAATTATTTTAATTTAAATAAATATAAATTTTGAAAAAATACCGAGGAAATGATTTTTTATACGCCAAAACCTATGTACAGGGCGACCCATATACTTATCTCAGAAACTACTGGGGTCACAAAAAATTTGTAAGAAATAAATATTCACGAAGTAAAAAATATTTTGTAAATATTATATTTTCATTTAAGGGTGTTCGGTTTTCCTTGGGACGATATCAACTTTCTTATTTTCAATGGAACACCCTGTATTTTTGTTTATTTTTGGATTCTACACACTTTTTTAGGTATACTTTATAAATATATTAATTAAGAAAATGTTAATACTCTTTAAGTAAAATTAAGATTTATTAAAATTTCTCTAAATGTAGACATTTGCTAAAAGTTAAAAAATAACCAACTAAAAGTTATTATTTTTTGTATTATGTATACACATGGTGTTTTCTTTGAATAAAAATTTTACTAAGGTAATTGGAAAAAAGCTACTAATTGTGAAAAATGCCAATATTTTTTTCTATTAGGTTTAGGTATAGGACGTATATATATATAAAGAAAGGAAATTACTTATTCTATGCAATTATGCAAAAATATATAGAGTATTCCATTGAATAAAAACTAGATTTTAAACTTTTAAGATCGCAATTTTCAACGGTGCATACACCCTGTATAATATTTTCCAAAAAATATATTAATTAACTTATAGCTTACTTATTATTAAAGAGATGGATACTACATAATATAAAAAATAATAACCTTTAGTTGGTTATTTTTAACTTTTAGCGAGTGTCTACATTTAGAGAAGTTTTAATAAATCTTAATTTTACTCAAAATGTATTAACATTTTCTTAATTAATATATTTACAAAGTATACCTCAAATAGTGTGTAGAATCCAAAAATGCAAAAAAATATAGGGTGTTCCATTAAAAATAAGAAAGTTGGTATCGTCCCAAGGAAAACCGAACACTCTGTATAAATGAAAATATAGTATTTTAAAAATATTTTTTACTTCGTGAATATTTGTTTCTCACAAATTTTTTGTAACTCCAGTAGTTTCTGAGATAAGTATATGGGTCACCTTACGTGTATAAGTCTTGTAATTTTAAAATTCCTATAATTTTTGACCGTCATTAAAAACGAATTAATTATAATAAAGTAATAGTTTTTAATGTGAAATTAAAAAATGTTTATGTATCTATACGTTTTAACCACAGACCAGATAGACTGAACGATGCCTATTCCGTATCAATGAATCAAGTGAAGCCGCTTTCGCGGAGTGCGGGGAAAGGTATGCGAAAGGCGTGGTTATGTTTTCACCAGAGTTGCCTTCAGTTTATTTACAATTTATGTCTCGTAGAAGAGTTTTATTTATAATATTTTTATATTATATAAGTAATATTTATACATTATTAATATAATAATTATAATTAGTATTGTTAACCGGTACTGTACGACTTTCAGGTCATAAACGGTACTGAGGGGTCTGAGAGACACCTGCCTTTTAAAATTATAATTTATATTATTTTTTTTATCTGAGGCTTTGGGGATACTAGGAACTATATATAAAGTTAGAATATCTCCAAAAATAATACCTAAATAAAAGAAAAATTTAAACAAATAGGTTTTAATCAAAACATGTACAAAAAGTGCAGTAGTGCAAACTTTGTGATTAAACTATAAAAAATATTAAACCAAACAAAATAAAACGATCTTTATTTTGAAGAATATACCTTAAAAAATAACATAAACAAAAAAAAATCAAAAATATATTTTTTTAACAGCAAAAATAACTGCTTCAAACTATAGCTGATTTTTACAATTATTTTTTCCATAGTAACTTTTTTTTTTCAAATTCTTAAAAAATTTCAAATTCTTCACTATCTGACCCTATAAAATTATTTTCTATAGACTCTTCACAGACAAGTCCTAAATCGCTGCTGTGATTATCTTCAACGACATAATCACTATAATGGTTATGTAGTATACTTAGTATACTATACTACAGTCATCTATATCACTTATATCGCTGTAGATTTCATAAAACCACTACATTACAGTTTCCTTGAA